CTTCCTTCCTTCCTTCCTTCCTTCCTTCCTTCCTTCCTTCCTTCTTTCTTTTCTTTTCTTTTCTTTTCTTTTCTTTTCTTTTCTTTTAAAAATTTGCTATGAGAGACACACAAGGGTGTCCGCAGAGTGAGATCAAAAATGTCACAATGGTGCAATTGAAGCTCCACACTTTTTATAGGCTGCGTGGGATGCACACAAAGAGCAGAAAGAGCCCTGGCCGCACCGTCATGGCTGCCAACTTGACTTTCTGGACCGCACTCTGCAGACACCCCTAGAGATACATCTTCCGCACTCTGTGTGTAATGTGTGAAAATGGCTGCACGCGCGTGGGTCTGCGATGGGGGGCTGTCTCTGGCTTTGGCCCCGCCCACATTTTGCTGCTGGGCCCCTGGATGGAGCCTCAGAGAAGAAAAGGTGCCTGGTCTAATTCAGATAGGTCCTTGCCTGCGGAGCTAGGCACGCCCACCCTGGAAAACAGGTTGGGGAGACGGCTGCCCCTTTTGTTCTTGGATCCGTGCGATCTGACCAGTGCGGGCAGACTTCGGCAACCCGCCTTTTCCCCCACCCCGGAGATTAAGCTGTCTTCCTCACAAAGTTCAAACCCTCCCGACGACGCATTCTTGGAATAGGCCGGGCGGCGCTTTGCGCCCTCTCCTCGGTCCTCTGGTATTCGTCCTAAATAAACATTGCAGCGGCACTTATCTGTGGCATGCGATTAGCCATGACGCATCCCCCCGAGGCAACCTCGAAGTACATTTAGCTCAAAGCAAACCCAGCCCGACACGCTTCTCACTTCGAAACTGTCCGTGTGCGGACCCGTGGAGCAGTGCGTGGGGCGGGAACATGGGTGTTTTCCTCTGCTCTCACACGTTATTCAGCAGCTTGCCACGCTTCACGAAATGCTTCAGCCGGCCTCGGCCGATGTGTTTCGTTTCTCGCAGGCTGAGATTGTATTTTGAGCCCACACTTTTAACACAGGCCCTGGCGGTCCCATAAAGCGCTCATTTATAGAAACGAAAAAGCAACAGATGTGCTTAAACCTTTCATGTTAAATCAGTGAAACATAAAAATGTTGAATTATTCAGATGATAACGATATTGACATTGGATTATACATTTCCATCTGTGAAGTCACGCTAATAACCATTGGCCTCACCTGAATATTTACTTTTCAGAGAAGCATCCTTTAATCAAGTTTATTTAAAGAGTTCAACAGTTCATGGAAATCAACATGACTTAAATTGTAAGACTTCTCGAACAATGCAGATCTTTCTATTCCTCCAGCCAGTCACAAATATGAAAAAAGTACATTCGTGGACACAGAAAACATTATTAGTTTATTGACTGGTAAGATTTTTATCCTGCCTTACCTGCAGGAGTGGCTCACGTGGCACCTCTCCTCCCATTTTCCTCCGCCACAGTGGTCCTGTGGGGCAGATTGGCTGAGAGACAGCGGCTGTCCCAAAGCCGCTCAGTGAACTTCTCCAGCAAGGGGAGACAGGAACCCGGCTCTCCCCCGCCCTGGTCCAGCGTCTTGCGTGGGAGGGTTCATTCAATTTACAGGATTCGACGGCAGGGCCTGCATGAAGCCTTGCTACTTGTTTTTATTGCATGGGTTACTAGATTTTTTATAGCAACACCTTCATGTGATTTGTCAGGAATTCCCCGTTTTAGAATAGAGTCCCATGTCCTGATCCTGTCTACGCCAGCCTTTCCCAGTCTGCCGCCTCCAGACTTACGGACTTCAGCTCCCAGAATGCACAGCAGTGGTCGTGCTGGCTGGATGACTCCAAAGTTGGGGAGATTTAGTTGACATGACCTCATAGCGGCTCTTCAGGATTTTGGACAGGAGTCTCTCCTGGCCCAGGAATTAGATCTGCGATTTTCTGCCTGCGGAGCAGAGGCATCAATGCGATACGCCCTTCCTTTCAACTAGGAATCGTTGGCTTCTAGGGAAAGCAGGAATGGAGCCTGTGCAGAGTGTTTTTGGCTGGTGGGATGGTTTTTTGGCTTGTTTGTTTTTGCAAATAGGATGGGGAGGATGCATAACTTGGCTGGATCTGGTTCTCACTGTATTTCATATTGTCGATCAGCCCCCCTTTTTCACCTATTAACATAATACTACTTTTATATTAACTGGATTTATACTACCCAGATGATCTTGGAATTGTGTTTACTTCTGGAACTACAGATTTTATATGCATTTAATTTTTTAAGAACTCCTAAAAGTGTCAGAGGACAGGTCTACCGTTTTCGATCTTCCTGGTGCCCAAGCAGCATCTTGAGAAATGGACATGATGAGTCTTTGCCTTCTTGTTCAGTGGATAAAAGCAGCAATATCTAGACCGTGGCTAAAAGCCTCCAAGGGCGCAGCCCAAGAGATACAGAGCCAGCCTTTTTACATTTGCAGCCTGGGTGGGAGACCGGGGGACGCACGGCTGTCCCAGTGGAGGGAACCTATTTCTCTCCTGTTGGTGACTGGCCAGGATGGTTGCCACCGTCCCATGGAACGATATGATTTTATCTGGGAATAGCACCATACTCTCAACCTTCCTAGTCTTCATCCGTTTTTTCAACCACTCCAGAATCACGCTAAACTTCTCTTTATGTGGAACTGAACTTTCCGCCATCAGAGAGATTTTGACCTCCTTCCATTGAGTGGGGTGGTGGCCCATGGGTTTCTTAAGGCTGCCACCAAGGAAATTTGTGTAAAGGAAATTTTATTATGCTAAGCAGACGAAGTTGCACAGTTTTCTTGGTGCTGCTGCCCTTCATTTACCACCATCGTGTTCATATTTATGTAATATTTTCCAGTTTCTTCCTTGCCCGTGCAACAAAAGACTCATTCTGTCTTACTTTGGGCTACATCTGCACTACCTGCTAATTGTGGAACACTTAGTTTTCTCACACCCACGTACCTGCAGTTCCGCAATGCCACAATAATATACACTCTGTCCTTTTTCCACTGTTGTCCTGTGTCCTTATGCAATGAACAGAGAAGCTGTTTCAAGCATTCACTATTGAGCTTTCCATGGGTGGAATCCAAAAGTTGTGTTTTGGGTGGCGGTCATATCAGGCAGGAGAGGTAGTGAACTGTCAGCCCTCTGGGCCAACCTGCCTTTCTTACGCTTCACCATCCAGTTTTGCCTCTTGGCAAACGTAGGATTTTCATGTGGCACATAATCTGATAACGCCTACCTTTTTTCTATACATTGGAGATTTTTCTGTTGTCTGAAAGTTCAGAGAAGGTTACCATTTCTTAAACCACGCAGAGCCTTTCCACTAGTCTCAATTTTTTTTCTTGGTTATGCAAAACCCAAGCTAGGTCTTCCAGCTTCTTCACAGCTTGCAAATGTTTAGCGCTCCTTCTTCTGCAACGGCCTCTTCCACAATCATTCTGAATGTCTTCTAACTTCCTCGTGTTGGTTGAGAAGCTCCGAGAAGGCAACAACAATCCATTTTTATCTGCTGCCACGGGCTGGAGACTAGGGCCACATGATGCTGCATTTGCTGGGGCTCTTCTGACCTTGGTGGCTATTAGTACCGTGGGGCACCTGTAACAGGTTTAGGTATCTCTCCAAGCTTCGCCCCTGAATCTTCGCCTAACTTCACGAGGGTATGTCTGCCCTCTAGGCAGCCCCCAGTGTATCCCCCCTTGTTCCTAACCATGGAACTGGCATGTCTTGGCAACATCTGCCGTTTCTTCTGCAGCCTGGAATGGCAGGCCCACTTGAAGGGGGTTGCACTGTATGCAACTGCATTGCCCTCACCAGAAATGCCCCCCCAAGCTGAGTAGCAGTTGGGGTGGGCTGTGGATAAGCGATCCCAGGGTAGGAAAGTGAAGAACTACAGCTGCCTGCTCCTCTATCCAAGAACACCCCTCATACTTATCTCAAGATGATGGGACTTTCACCTGGGCAGGTCCACACATAGCCTACGGTGGTTCAGTCTGTTTATTGGCCTTACTTAACCTTTCCTTCTTCCTGGGAGCTATGCACCCCGTCTCCTTTATGATTCCCATTTGTAGTACCCTCAGGAACCCATCCTGAGCACTAACGCCTCTGCACCTGCCAGCAATTCAGAGGAGGGGGGCAGCCAGACAGAGAAGGCTGCACCAACAAGAGGCACAGAGCCTAACCCCCACCCCCCCACCCCCATTGGTCTTTTCCCTCTAGACTGGAAGGGACTCCAGAGCCCAAGAAAGAAACGAGGACCTGAAATGGTAGAGGTCCCCTCAGCTGCAGCAGAACAAGAGATGGGGATGGGGGGAGTGCCAGAAGAGAGCCCAATTTCCATGGAGGTGAGAAACATCCCTTCCTACTGCTCTGGAACAGGTAGAAGAAGGTGTGGTTTCTGCTCCTTCCAGATGCACAGAAGGGGAAGAGGGACAGGGAGATGAGAAACCAGTCTCTCGTCTTTGTCCATGGAAGTATACTTTTACGTCTGCTTTTGCCTATTGAGACAAGCCAGTGAACCATTTCCAAGAGGGCTGGACTAGATAAGCTGCAGCCCTGCTAATGGGTGGGGGTCATTCTCCAGCAGAGGCTGGAATCGCCTGCATGCAAAGAGGTCTTGTGAAGCTCAACAGCTTCCTGCTCACGTCAGGACACTGTTTCAAAGCCACGAAGGTCTAGGAAGAGGAGCTTGCTGCTGCTGCTGCTGCTGCTCCTGCTCCTGCTCCTGCTGCTGCGATGGTGGCTGTGGGGCCTCCAGTATAGAAGTCCTCCTGCTTATCCATTCATCTGATGGTGCTAAGTACTGTATTTCTGAGGCTAATGCGTTCTTCGTTTGTTTGGCTTTTAAATAAATGTTTGAAGAAATTGCTATGAATGCTATGGTAATTGCCTGGCTGCGGTTGTTTATGGCAAGCACGGATAGCTGAAATACATGCTCACACGGCTTTGCGGTTCTGTGGCTCACGAGCCTGAGACAGCGGGTGCCAAACCCAGAGGAGCAATTCTATTCTGTCCAGACTGATGGTTTCTGGATTTATTCCCCATCACGCTCCTTGGAGCAGACCAGTCTTGTAAATGTATGATCACTGAATAACAATTAAACTAGGAAATTGAACTTTTCTGAGTAAGGAAGAATGGGTATTGCTCTTCAAGATATTGTTTAATGCACTGGTTTCATATTACAGGTTTAAGGATTACAGAGAACCACCATGGTCTGAAAACCCGTATGAATTCTCTAAGCAGTATTGGTCGGTTTTATCTGCCCGTCTGGCATTTGTCATTATTTTTCAGGTAAACGTTTTCTCTCTTGTGTTACTTTTCCTTTGAATGCCATATGTTTAGAACTTCCTGCACACTGCGCCTGAGCAAAGTCTTGGGCCACTGGACAGCAAGGGTAAGTTCTCCCTAAAACGTCCCGATCAGTTCTTCAACCAACAACACATTGTTGAGCGTGGAAGAACAGGAGTGAAGATGAAAGGAGTTCCTTTCTTGTTTTCAGTTGGTTTCAAATTGCCAAAGAGGATAGTTGATCTTTTTCAACATCTGGCACATTCATCTGAATGTCTAAGAGGAGTCCAGCATCCAGCATCTGTTTGAATGGCAGGATGGGGCTAACCAGCTCAAGGCTTCTGAGTTAGGAACCTACTACATCTGAACACCTTCATCCAAAGGAGTGTCACTCTGGTGTTTACGATAATATGACACCAATTCTTCGGCATTTACCGCCTTGATTGCTTCACAATTAGTTCTTTCTCCTGGATGTTACCTTTCATTCTCTAAAACCATCCAGATTAAGACATAGAGTAGCCATTAAAATACCATTAGAAAGGAGGAAATGACAAAAGTAAGGAAGACCCCATGAGGAGTGACTTCTTTTTGCAGCTAAATGCTCCTCTGATTGGAAAAAATATTTAACAACAAAGGGTAATGTTAGAAGTTCACTCAGCAAACATAAACAGACTGTCCCATTTGCACACGTGCACATACATTTCTCACTCACACACGCAGACAGCTCTTCCTCACTCTCACTCTTCTACCCATCTGGATTTCTGAGCATTTTTACCAACAGGTCATATGGCATTAGCCCTCCCAGGAATAAACTCTTTATATTTGCACTGGAAGCTGCCCAGAGGAAGAAGAAAGGCGGGATGCTTCTGTCAGGACTTGGCCATTTGCCTTAATAACCCCTTTCCTGCCCAGGCTCTTCTTCCTCATCACCATCCTGAGGCCTCAGAGACCAGCCAAGTCCATCTCCCCTTTGGGGCTCCTACTGCCTCGGAGCCACCACCCACAAACCCTACCCTATGTCACATGGAGCCCCAGCAACACCTTCTAGTCACTGGGAAGACCTGATCATCTGGCAGAAAAAAGGCCCTTCCACACCTTTCCTGAGAACAGCCCAAGCTGCTGGTTGGTGATGACCGCATCTCTGATAACAGCAGCAAACATAATAATGTGCAGCCCTGTTTCGGGGGGCGGGGGAGCAATGCTAGAAAAAAGCCCTCAGGAGGTCCTGTAGATCCCATGCTTGCCTCTGGAGTTGTCAGTTTGCGGGTTCTTATGAACGACAGTGTTTCCAGGATGTTGCCTAACTGTTGCCTAAAGCTAAAAGCATTTAAGTTAGTAAAATTGGAGTGATCTGATAGGCCTCAGCAGCTGGTGCTCTGTGTTCTCCCGCCAGCTGTGATCCACCTCTGCTCTCTTCTTCTTCCTTGGCAGAATCTGGTCATGTTCCTCAGCGTACTTGTTGACTGGATGATCCCAGACATCCCCAAGGATATCAGTGAGCAGATCAAGAAGGAGAAGAGTGTGCTGGTGGATTTCTTTCTGAAGGAGGAGCATGAGAAACTGAAACTGATAGAAAACTTTATCGCACGGGACAAACAAAGGAGCTGGAGTGAGACGAGAAGGAAGAGGAGTCGAGCGGCCAGTTTCTCCCAGTTCAACCGAAGTCGTCGCGGCAGCTTTACATCTCTTAGTTCAAAGCACAGCGATGTATGATCCGTATTTGGACCACAGAGAGCCTGCCTGCGTACTCATCCGCTTCCTCCAAGGAACTATGAGAGCTGTAGTAACATAAAGGGGGGTTGGGGTCTTTAGCCAAAGATCCCCATTACTCACACAAGGAAGCGGTGACCCACTGGGCTGCTATAAAGCCCTTAGTAGAGCTATGCCCTAAGAGAAAGGACCGTCCTTAGGAACGAAATCTAATAACTGTGTACCTGTTGCGTGATCTCACCTGGAATGAGGGGGTTGGTGGCTGGGAGGAGGAGAGCTGATAGAGGTCTAGTTCAGCAGAAAGTGGTTTTCAGAACCGTATCTAGGTTACAAACGCCTGTGAGTTTAATCGGGTTAAGTCCCATGGCTCACAGCCCCAGGACTTATAGTTTGGTGGGAATGCTGATGCCAGCAATCGCTAATTTTTGTGATAAAATTATTATAGCTTCCTAAAAATGAAAGTGCTGTTAAATCAGTTAAAGTTATAACATAGACTAGGAGCGAACTCCCCAAATATGGTTGCAGTTGGCAGGTTTGTTATTTTAAAGTTCACTTGAGGTGGACGCGTGTCTCTTACTTGCCCTGTCCCTGACGGAAAGTCTTCCACCCACCCACCCACCCACCTGAGTCTGGCTGCTCAGCTGGATGGAAAGAGGCGGCGCTGCCAGAAGGAGTGAAAGGATCCTGCCTTTTGTCGCTTCTGAAATGCTGTTGGGGGTGGCGGGGGGGGGGGGGGTAGAAAAGTACTGGATTCTTCCTTGACTGACTTGGAGTGACCTTTGCTATTGGGTGACCACCCTCTGCTCCCATCGGAGCACCTTGAGGGTCAGGTGAGGGACCTTGAGAGCGTGTCCGTGTTTCCCGTCATCCATCCTTAGAGGCTTTAAGCAGTTCTGGGTCTTTTTCATCTTGCGACTGACCCACGGTCTGTATTTCCTTTAATGGGAAAGGGGAGTGAGCACGTCTGTTGTATCTTCCCCCCCACTCCGCCTCTGACAGTTGGCTTCAATCTATTTATGAAGGGACCTGGTTTTTCCTTCCTTATCATCTCTTCCTTTTGCACAACACCATAAACTTGTTTGAAATTTCCTACCAGAATCAAGCTTACTGTAGGATCGACTTTTGCTCTAAATGTCATTATGTCACAAATTATATTCTGATGCAAAACAAACTAAAAGGCTAAGGGCACAATAAAAAACGAGTTTTAAACGCATGTAACTCAAAACTCCTGGCAGTGATTTCTGTTAACTTTGCCACAATTCCTCCATTTACATTGTTCTACATTTTCTAAAAATAGTATCTTGGATCAAAAAAACAAAGATGCTTTAACCATTTATTCGTGCTTTTCTATGCTAGGGTCCCAAATAATGCTGCGGAGTCCTGACAAGCTGGGATTAGTTACCACCAGCCAACCCTGCAGCTATCTTAGGAGCAGGGACTGTTTCTTCCAGGTGGGTCACAGGCCCTCGCAACCTAACAGAGACGAACTTGGCTCTCCCAAATATAGAAAATAATGTTGATCAGCATCTCCTCCACCTGGCTGGTTCCGCAATCAGAGCTATAACACGTAACAGTGACACACACAATTCTGCATTCCCAGGACCTTTCTTCAGGGAGCGGCATTCAGCGTAGATCCCTGTGGAGCATCTTCTGGGTGCGACAAAACTGGTTTTGAGCGAGCCCTTGGCCTCTGCTACATGCTGTCTTCAGAGTACAGGAGTGCTACCTGCTAGCCCTTCTCTGGGCACTGCTGCTCAGTGGTGGGAGCAGACCGAGCTCCAGTTCACAGAGGTTCCTAATTCCATCAGAGGATGTGGCATTGTGTCGTTTCCTAGGAGGCTGACTGCACAGAAGTGGCGACAGAGCTTATGATTTTACTGACTGTGTAAAAGGGGACAGTGTTTATGCACAGATGTGCACAAACACAGAGTCAAGGGCCTTTGGCTATTCCCACAGCTTCCTGAGCCGTATTCTCACTTCGTTTCCTCAGATGCCTGAAGTTTATACGGAGGGAAGGATCATCAAAGGCCACAAAATCCAAGAACTGGGCCCATGGCTTTTTAATTCAGGGGTCATAATTCTTTTTGGGGGGGGGCGGGGGTAAATGTGTTTGTATGTGTGTAAAAGAGAGAGATACGACAATTAGAACAATATATCCAACAAAGTAGGATTTAGTTTACGACAACCACAAAGTAAAATCTCTTAGGTGATCCATGGGACTTTAGACCATTGGCGCTGAATAACAAGCTGATACTAAATATTAGCATTTTACTCCCTATTCATGCAAAGCTCACTCCAGTCCCTGGAGCGGTCATCTGGCTGAAACTAACTCATTGTTGACTGTTTTATGCCCTTGGGCAACACACTTGAGATGGCTAAAAAAAATCGTTCCCTGGGAACAGTCGTCCTGGGGGTGGAGAGGCTCCTGAAGCAGAAATTTCTCAGCATCATCACCAAATTCCCACTGCTGGAATCTGAATGGGGGAGGGAGATGCCATGCCATCTGAAATGTTCTGAACGTCTGTGCTGTATAGATGTCCAAAGAATATACTAAATAAATGGGTAATGTAGGATGAAATGACACACGATGACAGGAGTTTTGAAATGTAATACCTCTTAGTGATCTCCTGGGACTTATCTCCATCTCTCCAAACATTTTATACCTCTTCTTCAGTGAACATATAAGGTAATGTATCGGTCAGACCTAAGGCTCAGAGCACGAGAAGATGTAATAATGTTGTTATTAAGAAAGTTAAATAAGGTAAAAACAGAGTTCAGAAAGTCATTTGAAAATGGTGAGACGTCTCTTCTTTCACACAGCAGACATACATGGTGCTAGCACCATTCATGAGATTTACTGACATGCATCAACTCCTATTTGCCACCTTGCAACCTACATATGGAACCTACCTGTAATTTCATAAGGCCGAAACTGCAAAAGAGATTTCTACCCTGCACTTTATGGGTCCCATTGCTAGTCTCAGGTATCTGATGGGTGTAAGAGGTGCCTTAATGATGCTCCACGTCAGATGGGCTATGAGGGGCACGAGCACCAAACACAGCCAGTGCTTCAGCAGCAGTGATGCCAACTCCGTCATGACCACTGAAGCTAAGGAGGCTTTACGAACCAGGATTGCAAGAAGCAATTGTTTGTTGTTACTCTTGCTTCTTCTTTCCTGCCTTCTTTTGCCTTCACTGCTGTCCATTTAGTTTTTTCATGCAAAGATCGGTCTGTTTTTTTTTAATCTGAAAGAAAGTGCCACGTGTAGTTCTGAAACTCTACACTATAAATAAAATAATGAGAACTCTATACTCAAATGTACAGACAAGAGAGGAACCAATTTAACTCCCTCCTCCAGGAAGAAAATACTGCCATTTTTTTTTTAAATGCAACTGACCTTGTACTTCACTAGAATCAAGATATCTCAAAGATTCAATCCTTTATTGAGTAACAATCACAAAAATAGCCTTCTTAAATTAGAGAAGGTAATATAAGTGATTGGCAACTTCAGATCCATAAATGGAATGATACATCTGTCCATCTTGGGAAAATATATGTTGCACCAATTTCAGTGAGAAACCCACAGGCATATGATTTTAAAAATTGAAATCAATACAACGTAATTTAATTTAACTTAACTTTGGCTGAATCACCTCCAAGTTCTTTATGGGGAACCCTTGGCTGATGACAACTTTTTTGGATCATTCTGAGCATGACGACCTTGGTGTGTAGAAGACTGAGCCTTGGAACATGAAAAGATTAAATGGTGCAAAGATGACTTAATGAATAAAATGAGAGGAAAGAAAAGTAGTTACCTTGTGTGTGTGTCTGAGTGTCAGTGCAACTAAAAATCAAATAATTTTATTATAGCCATAAGGCCAGAAAACAGGGATATACTGTAAAACCTAAAAAGTACGTGAATATAAATATACATATACGTCAATTAACAAATAGAAACTATAAACATGTAACAAAAATGAAATATAGAAGTACAGGGATAAAAGTACAACAATAATAGAATAAAATAATGCAAAATGCCAGTTAGCAAATGAATCAGAGTCTTCAACTACAAGCAAGACAAATCGCACTTGTGGAGGTGCAAAACTGGGCAACCTGGGAGGACACACGTGGGTTCTTATCCGATAAGAATTTGGTTTAGAGGCTGTGCTCTCGTGAATGACTCCAAAAGCATGACTGGTTTTATTTCTGACAGTGAGAGATTGAAAAATAGTACAGTTTGCAAGACTGAATTTTGGAATGTGGAATTTTGGAGTCTGGATGCTAGGAGCAATGGAAATGGGAGAAGAGATAAGAGAAAGGAACTAGAGTGGGAACTTAGCCTGTGAAATTGAGATCAAAATAGGCAGAGAAAGCGCAGAGATACTTGGTGGGAAGCAGGGAACTACGTGTGTTTGGGAAGCAGGTAAAAGAGCTAAATGAGGAGCCCCCGGCAGAAGGAATGGGGTTAAGGAAGAAAGCGACGCTACGGTCTGGGATGAGACAGAGGGAAGAGAATGCCGGAAGGAAGGTTGAGAGCTAATTAAGGGAATGATGGGAGGTTTGACATTAATATGAAACTGAAAGTTGGTTTCTGAGTGCGATAAAAGCAGTTAATGAAGGAAGTGAAGCACGTGTAAGATTAACATTGAACAGGCAGTAAAGCAAGGGTGTGTGATGCTCTCTTTGTTGATTAATGTATTTCAGGGTTAATGAGTGCTTGTGCTGACAGTCGAGATGGATTGGGGATGTCAATGTGCATTCACATACACAGAAGATGTAATGTTGTTGGCTGAGTATGGAATAATTTGCAGCCTATGTTTGATGGATTGTATGATACAACAAGAAATATAACCAATGCATCAAATACTAAGGTATTTGTTTGGGACATGGATAATGAAGTGAATGACTACAAAACACATCATCTAAATGGTGGGAAAGTAGACCACATAGACTCATTAGTGTGCCTTTGTAAAAGTTTACTGCAGGTAGGAAAATGAATATATAGATTTCAAGACAGGCAAATACTGGTTGAAAGCTAATAGGTAACTTGTGGTCTGTGGCAAGGAACAATTGCTGGAAGAGTGTATAAGAGCTTCTGCCCCTTTCTTGTGCTGGCTTACGTCAGAAGAAACGCAAAAGGAAATTGAATGCAGTGAGGACGGGATACCTAAGGCAGAGCAGTAAAAGACGGAAAGAGAGAATCAAGAGGGAAGAGAACTGGGCTTTATTCCAGGGCACAAACCCACCCAGCTTCTCAAAATAAAAACAGCACAGTGCGACAAAAATAAGAAAATGGGCAGGAAGGCAAAAGGAAGAGACAATAAAATAAGGTCAGGAGGATGCAACATTCTAGCGGTCCATGCAATATTCTACAGAGTCTAATCAATCCTAATTAATTTGCCGTTACTAAAGCATGTAACGGGTCTCAAACGCAACCTTAGCCACACAACTTGCGTTATTTAAGGGTCTTTATCTGCCAGAGGGAGATTTACATGGGATGGCCTAAAGGGAGGTGTTAAGAGCTCACTAGGGGTATCCTTCTAAAAGGTTCAGTAGAGGAAGGCCAGGGCCGGTGATTTAATGTGCCCAGACTGACAGGGACAAGCCCGTTCCAAGCCAAGGGTTTTCTGAAACTTGCCCTTCCACACAA